ATTGCAGTGGCTTATTAGTATAAGAAATAAAAATTACTTGAAAACTAAGGAGGAAGAAAGATTTCCTAAGATAGGTTCCTGGGGGTCAGGTGCCCAGATTGCCAATAAGAAACTTCCATTTGCAAATAATGTTCAAAAGACACTTCTTAATATAGTCAGCCTGGAAATGGGCTCTGAAATCTGAGAGCAACTGGTTCTCCTTGTATTGCCAAAGGGCAAATGTCAAAGCATAGCATTAGAAGGTGAGATCTGTGTCAGCATATAGACCCTTAAACCATCTTTCTGCGTGTAGACGGTTCCTATTTTCTCATTTCTCCTAAAAGATTGCAAGAGAGTTCGTGTGTTTATAAAAGAATTTTTAACACTTTGGGACCAATTTGCCTTTTAAAAATTTACCTTTGTGAATGAATGCTCCAGGATAGTCATAATCTAGCCCTTCTAAATCCCTGCCTCCCAGCCAGAAAGAGGCACATTTCTAGATGATTAGAGAACTTCAGGTGGGAATCTTACTCTGCTTCTGGCTTTATGCCTTAAAATATGACCTAAGGCAAGCTATCATTTCCCAGAAATGAAATATGTCATATGTTGCTATTAAAGTGAACCAGAAAAAGAGCATTCTATTACAATAATGGGTTTTGTTTAAAAAAATTCAAATGTCAAATCCCCAAAGGAATAATACATATTTGATACTATTATTAGAACAGCAATACCAGTAATTGTATGAGGTACTTATATTTTGCATTGTTCATCCAGTAAAGGGATTTTATGTAAACCTTTCAGTAAAATTATTGTGTCAGAGGAAAATGAGGAACAGCATCACTGATTATTCATGCAATCAATATACATTTATTGGGGGTGACTGTGTCTTGGTTATCAGTCTAAATACTGGGGATGAAAAAAAAAAAGACTAGGAGAGTTTCCTGCCTTCAAGGAGCACACATTCCAGATGTGGAGACAGATGCAGCAACTAACTACAATGCAATGTTACAATAGATATGGCAGAGACTTCGATGAGGCCGTGGAGTATACTACAGGGAGCTATGAATTCTGACCAAAGAGGCCTGTATTATCCTAGTGTCCTGTTTGAGCTGAGCTGAACCTTGAAATATCAGGATGAAGCATGCATTAGGCAGATGGAAATGAATGGGCAAAGGTATAGCAGTTAAAAACGTCATGGTACGCTTAGGGACTGGTGAGTGGTTTTTTTTCTGTAACTACAGCGGTAAATCTGTCAAGCTGTCTGATGTCAAACGTTGAACTTTCATGGACTAGAATGAGTTAAAAAAATCTGAATGCTTTTTGTGCAGTAGAATTTTACAAAATAAAGAGCCAAGGAAAGCAATGAGAGAAAGAGACAAAATGCTGCATGGAATAAAACTGTCATTCTCATCCTGACTCATCTGTTAACTTAGGAAAATACACTTACATCAAGAAATGCCAGAAAATTGCTCACTTCACGTGCTTACGGGTAGATTGAACCCAATTTTGTGGCATTAAAACCAATTTTCTGCTGAGAAAACATGTCACAGAGGATTACATGAACCTTTATAATTATTAATAATATTTGATACTTTGATGTCACTTTTCATCCTGAGATCAGTGCCATACACACAGAAACAGATAAGCTCCAAGGAAACAGAGATGATATTAATACATTAAGTCACAATGCTTTTCTCTCTTCCATATTCCAAGGGCTTTCTGGCTGTGTGTTTCTCTCACCTTTGGAAGTCAGTGGATGTAGGCCGGGTGTGGTGGCTCACGCCTGTAATCCCAGCACTTTGGGAGGCTGAGGTGGGTGGATCACGAGGTCAGGAGTTTGAGACCACCCTGGCCAACATAGCGAAACTCCGTCTCTACTAAAAATACAAAAAAATTAGCTGGGCATGGTGGTGGGTGCCTGTAATCCCAGCTATTTAGGAGGGGCTGAGACAGGAGAATCCTGGTTGCAGTGAGCTGAGGTTGCAGTGAGCGGAGGTTGCAGTGAGCTGAGATCATGCCACTGTAATCCAGCCCAGGTGACAGTTTGAGACTCTGTCTCAAAAAAAAAAAAAAAAAAAAAAAAAAAAAAAAAGTTAATGGATGTAGTTATAAAGCAGTGATTTTTTTATTTTTGTTTTTATTAGCTGCTACTACAAGAAGTCTTAGGCTACAGTACAGGCCACACCTTTCTGTTCACAGCTTTCGTTGGAAGATCAGCTTTTGACATATCGGTTCTCCTACTCCTTAGCTTCTTTGCCTGCTGATCTCATCCTGACATACCAGAAGTGGGCTGTGTCTTCATGGATTCTTTGACTTCCACAAGAGACTAACAAGGCATCATCATCTTTGTCAACATCATCATCATCATCATCATCGTTATCATTATCCTTCCAACTACAACCCCCACTACTGCTGCTGCTTATGAAGTAAGCACTCTATGCACTATTCTACTATTCTAAAATATTTATATATATATATCATATTAACTAATTCCACACCAACATTATAGGGTAGTGCTGTCCACTATAGCTTGCTGCAATGATGGGAATGTTCTATATCTGTGTTGTCCAGTACGGTAGCCACCAGCCACATATAGCTATTGAGCACTTGAAATATGGTTAATGTGACTGAGGAACTGCATTTTTCTTTTATTTAATTTTAATTAATTTCATTGACATAGCCACATGGCTAGTGACTATTGTATTGGAAAACACAGTTACAGCCTCTGGGGGTTATTGTTACCTTTTTAAAAACAAAGCTCTATTTTCATCAGTAGCACAAACTTAATAAGGACTAGTGTGAGTGAATGGTTCAGAAATATGTTATTGAAGCTAAAAATACAGATGCTCCTTGACTTCCAATGAGGCTTATGCCCTGATAAACTCATCATAAGTTGAAAATATCATAGGTCAAAAATGCATTTAATATACCTTAAACTACCAAGCCTCACAGCCTAGCCTAGCCTACCTTAAACATGCTCAAAACATTTACAGTAGCCTACAGTTGGGGAAAATTATCTAACACAAAGCTAATTTATAGTAAAGTGTTGACTATCTCATGTAACTTATTCAATGCTGAACTGAAAGTGAAAAACAGAATGATTGTATATGGTCCATAATCAAAATATGGTTTCTACTGAATGTATATGGCTTTTGCACCATGGTAAAGTCTAAATATATAAGTAGAAGCATCATAAGTTGGAGATCATCTGTATTTTAAAAAGAAGTCCCATATTCTACATTGGGAGAGCTTTTAGTTCACCCTTCCCTGACCCTGGTAAAATTTGATTCAAAAGAATTCCGTGGAATATATAGGGTAAAGTCATTTCTAAACCAAGAACATTTACAAAAGATGTGGATGATGTCTTAAACCTCATTGTAGTCCAACTATCCCAAGTAGTCAGCACCGGTAAGCACTAGTCCCTCTACTGAAAATTGAAATTCCAATGACTGATTTTCCAAAAGAAGACATTCTCCTCCACTTAAGAAATGGAACAATGAAAGAGGGTTTTCTGTTTCTGGTGACCAGGGAGAAACGGAGTCTTCACACAAAGTTTTAGTTCATATTCAGCCCTCCTTTCCCTGAAACCACATCCCCAGGATTTATCTGGTTTGTTCGTGAAAATATGGGAAAACACTTTAAGGAGAAGAAACTGATCAGATGACTTAATTACATTTCTGCTTAGTCCACCCTGTAACTTAGACTGTTAGAGAGAGAGAACTTAAGTAGCCCTTGGTTTGAACCATCTGTCGCGAAAATGTGACATATGTTTGCTTTGTTTACTCAACAACCAAGTGTAAACTGATACACTGAACTAGAGGATCCCTGAATGGTGTGGCTATGGGTGTGTGTGTATTGGAGGAGGGGTGTCTGATGAGGGCGTCCTTCTCCTCATACCTACCCCGGAGGAACACGCTTACAGCACAAGAGGAGTGCGGACCCGTAGGATGTCCCCCGGGTTTGGGGCGCGCCCCGAGACACAGACCTTCTTTGGCGACTCCACACAGTGTGCAGCCTGCCTGCAAGCAGCCGCTGCAGCCTAGGGGCGCGCCTGGTTGATGTGTGGTTGAATGGAGAGCGGCCCAACCCTCCTCCTTCCTCCTCTTCTCCCCGCCCTGACACCCGGGCCTCAAACTTCAACCAAAGCCGGTGCCCTTTTCAATTAACCCCCCTCGATCAAAATGAGCCATTCTTTTCTGTCCTCCGCGGCGGCCCATTGTCTGGCGTGATCGGTTTGCTGATTTGACAGCTGGGCGCACACATATTTGATTCAAACTCGGTCTCCCCGAGAGATGAACTTGGACATCAGCAAAGATCCCGAGCACTGCGGGCTGGCTCCTAGACCAGTCTCCGGACCCAGTGTAGACTTCGGTGCCCCGGGCGCCCCCCGGCGTGCGGGAAGGGGAGCGTGTGTCAGGGGTGGGGGGCGGGGAGTGAGCAGCACGACTGGGAACGAGGGCTGTGTACATGTTAGGCTTTTTTAGGCTTTCTTTTCTTTCTTTCTTTTTTTTTTTTTTTTAAATTTATTCTCGAAACAGCCAAGATGGAGGTCAGCTTATAAATTTCCTAAAGCCAGGTCTGGCCGGGTTTAAATGCAGTGAGTTGGGGGCTCCGCTTTTGTCTCCTTGTCGGAGCTCGAGGAGATAGGTAGAGACTGCGTGTGCATGTGTGCGTGTGAGTGTGAGTGTGCACGCGCTGGCGTGGACGAACGAGTGGGCGCATCCCAGGATCGCCGCTCCGGCGTCCTGGGTCTGAGTGTGTCTTCTACGCACCAAGTCTTGAATCACAGCCACTAGTGACGTGGGGGGAAAACTTTGTGTTCCAAAGAAGGGTCTGGCTCGATTGCCCTAAGAAGAAAGAGCCCTTGTGCCCGTATATGTGTGTGTGTGTGTGTGTGTGTGTGTGTGTCAGAGAGAGAGAGAGAAAGAGAGGCAGAAAGAGAGAGAGAGAGAGAGAGAGACAGAGAGAGAGAGAGAGAGAGAGAGAGAGAGAGAGAGAGAGAGAGAGAGAGAGAAAGTGTCTGGCAGCACCCGCGGCCGGCTGCAGAACGCTGCGTGTCCTGTGCGCGCGTGCGGTCCGGCCGCGGGTCTCACTGCAAGCGAGCGTGTGCAGCTGCGGCTGCCTGGAGGGCGAGCTTAGGAGGGGGCTGGAGCTGCGGGGCAGCGGGAGCAGGAGCAGGCCGAGGGTCCGCTGGCCAGAAGAAATCTGGCCTCGGAACACGCCATTCCCCGCGCCACTTCCAATAACCACTAACATCCCTAATGAGCATCCGAGCTGAGGGCTCTGCTCGGAAATCGTCCTGGTCCAACTCGGCCCTTGGAGCTCTAGAAGATTGCCGCATCTATTTTTTTTTTCTTTCTTTTTTTTTTTTTTTCCTAGGGCAAATAAAGTGAGCCCAGAAAGGGAAGGAGGGGGCAGGGACACCATTCCCCCCGAAAGAATAAATAAGTAAATAAACTGGCTCCTCGCCGCAGCTGGACGCGGTCGGTTGAGTCCAGGTTGGTGGCATTTGGAGCTTTTTTCGTTCTGTTTGGGAACCCATTGCCGCTTCCTGTCCCTCTTCCCCACTCCTTCTTCCTTCCTCCCCCGGCCACCTCTTTCCGTTTTGCAGGCGTCTCCCAACTTTGGGGCCCGGGGGGCGCTCGTGGCGCCGGGCTGCACCTGCCGGGGAGCGCGGGGACTGCGGGCCGGCGCGCTCGCCCTAGGCGGGGGTGCGGAAGCGCCCGAGTCCGGGCACCGGGCGAGGGTGTGAGAGGTGCGGACACTCAGGAGGGAGCCGAGGACACGCGGTGGGTAGGGGCGCAAGAACTGGGTTTCAGCCCCAGTCGGGACATCGGTTCCCCGTGGCTTGGCGGCCTCTGGAGGGAGACGAGTCCCGGGGAGAGGGAGGGGGGCGACAGGGGCTAGGGATTGGCGATCTGAGTGGGGAGGGCCGGCGGCTGAGGGAGCTCGGTGGCTGACGGAGGAGGGGGAGGCCAACTTCCCGGGAGAAGGGGCTCTTTCGGCGCCAGGGCTGGCTGGGGAGCTGCCGCCGCCGACACCGAGGGCTTGTATTCCAGGCAGCTGCCGGCTCCGCTCACGGCGCTCGGAAAGTACCGTTTATTTATTTATTTGCTTGTGTTCAGCCTCTCGGGTTGAACCCAACAGACACCCCCTTGGACTTTAGGAACCCTCTTCAGACCTCTTCAGCCCTCAACCCCATTCCTGTGTCAGCGGCCCCTGGAATACACGCACATGCACCCCGACCCGGGTGGGGGTGGGTCTTCACCCCAGCGTTGGAAAGTCTCCAAAGGCGGGAACGGGGGAGGGGAGAGGGGCTGTGGGGGGAGTCTCCTGCGCTCTCCGCTCTCATCTCAAAGTGCGCCCTCCCTTCCAGGTTGGGTCGGACCTGAACCCCTAAAAGCGGAACCGCCTCCCGCCCTTGCCAGCCCGGAGCTGAGTCGCCGGCGGCGGTGGCGGCTGCCAGACCAGGAGTTTCCTCTTTCACTGGATGGAGCTGAACTTTGGGCGGCCAGAGCAGCACAGCTGTCCGGGGATCGCTACATGCTGAGCTCCCTCGGCAAGACCCAGCAGCGGCTCAGGATTTTTTTGGGGGGGCGGGGACCAGCCCCGCGCCGGCACCATGTTCCTGGCGACCCTGTACTTCGCGCTGCCACTCTTGGGTAAGTCGAGGCCCGCCGCGGGCTTTCTTACCCGCTGAGTCTTTCCTAGGGTCGTTTGCAGCAGCCCACTCCGCCCCCCGCACCAAAATTGGGGCGCGGGTGCGGTGGATGTGGGAGGAAGAAGTTTCGTTTTGGGGAAGGGGATCGCGAATCCCCGGGTTAGGGAGGCGGTGGCGGTGCGGCGCTGCCCGAAGCTTTTCGGGCTTGGTTTTGATTTCCTGTGGTTTTTAATGACCTAGCTTGGCGGGGGACTAAGGAGCCCTCCAGCCCAGGGCCCTGCAACCCCAGGGAGTCTCTGGCAGCTCGCGGAGCCGCGGCGGGCAGGTGGAGTTGGGGAGCACTGGGGCCGGGAGACCAAACTTGGAAGAGAAAAGTTTTTCCCGAGTAGCTTCTGAGCGCTCTCCGCCCGGCCGACCGCTGACCACGGCTGGCCTGCCCCGCGCCCAGCGCGCGCCCGGTGCCCAGTTCGCCGCCGCGCTTCTCCTCGGAAAGACCCTGAGTTTTAGTCGGGCGGAGCGGGTGGCTGGAGCCGGGGGTGGCCCAGGAGCCCGGGTCGTCGCTCAGGCCAGGATGCCGCGGGGCGGAGGGCCGACGTGCACGGTGGGCAGCGCAGGCTCTGGAGCAAACCCTTAAAGCCACTGGGCTGAGCCTGCGCCACCCTTCCCTACGGGCCCGGAAGGGAGAGGAGCTGGAGTTCCAGGGGGCGGGAAAATGGACTCCCGGATGGTCGAGAGGTGGACCCGCTCGATCCCTGAGCAGGGCGCCCCCGAAGGCTGGTCAAGCATCCCTGACCTGGGCGCGCGCGCTCGCCCGGATCAGGGGCGTCCCGGGTCCCCGCCCGCCGCACTCAGGCTCCCTCCCCTCTACCCTGCAGACTTGCTCCTGTCGGCCAAAGTGAGCGGCGGAGACCGCCTGGACTGCGTGAAAGCCAGTGATCAGTGCCTGAAGGAGCAGAGCTGCAGCACCAAGTACCGCACGCTGAGGCAGTGTGTGGCGGGCAAGGAGACCAACTTCAGCCTGGCATCCGGCCTTGAGGCCAAGGATGAGTGCCGCAGCGCCATGGAGGCCCTGAAGCAGAAGTCGCTCTACAACTGCCGCTGCAAGCGGGGTATGAAGAAGGAGAAGAACTGTCTGCGCATTTACTGGAGCATGTACCAGAGCCTGCAGGGTACGCCCGGAACCTCCCCACACCACCCCGCGTCCCTCCCCGAAGGCAGGCGGGCCCTCCGTCCCCTGGCCAGCTGATCTCATCCTCCACTCACTTCTCCCCAGCTGCGGAATGAGGACCTTTCATTGGCCCCCAGGGACAACGGCAGCTGGTGTTTGCTGGGCTGACCAGCATTGTTGAGCCTGGTTGTTGGAAAACCCATGAGGAGGTCGGGGGCGCGGCGGGGGGCACCCCTGGGACCCCACTGACCTCTCTGAAACCTAGTCAGAGCATGGGAGGAGGATCCCACTCGAGGACCCCAAGGAACCCACAACTTCTTTCCAAGGAGAGCCAGCCTGGAGCTTTCGGTGGCCTCAGAATAATAATAGGAAGGCTTGCCCTGCATCTGGTCTGGACTTTCCCCCTGTCTTGTTCCCTTTAGTCTGCTCTGACCTAAGATAAAGTATTGTAAAAGGTCCAGGAAAATCCATTCTATCTTCACCCTCCCCACCAAACGTGATCAAAGGCAGATGTGTGAAAAACCGTTTGTCATCTTACATTAGCTGAGTCTTGAACCAGCTGGTGTGGTTCAACCTCGGTTATCACAGAAGTAGCTCAGGGAGAGAAAGAACCACTTGTCACAGCCATCCAGTCCAATGGGAATGTTTTGGTCCTCGTAAGCCAGAGGGGGCTCATGTTTGTAAACCTAACACAAACACCTTGTGTGTTCATTCTCGACTGAGACTCACACTGGAGATTTGTATTATACAGATTTGAGCTGTCAGCAGCCACTTCCTCCAGAGTCTATTAATGAAAACCTGTTTCAAAGGTGGGCTCTTTAATAGCCATGGTACCTGCCTTCCAACTGTATGCCAAGTTTTGGGAGCAAGCAGAAATGTGGGTCTTTCCTGGGTCACCTTTCTTCCATTGGCTCCTGGAGGCAAGCAGGGCTCGTGACGTCATCGGCTCCAGCTTTCCTCTCTGATTTCTATTCCTTTGCAAAGAGTGGGAGAGTTTTCTGGCAAGATCGGGCTGGGTTGTTCTCCAATATTTTCATGGCACTCTGGGGAGAACAAGGACAACAAAAGCAGAGGGAATGAAAAGAAATAACCATAGAGAAAGAGATGCATTTGAAATCTTTCAAAGTTTCAGCATCTTTTTGTTACACAATCATAACATAATTAGAATTCAGATGCAGCAGCAAAAACCTGCTTGAAATATATGATTTTCATATCTGAGCCCAGTCTTTCTGTTGTTTTTAGGAAATGATCTGCTGGAGGATTCCCCATATGAACCAGTTAACAGCAGATTGTCAGATATATTCCGGGTGGCCCCATTCATATCAGGTAAGCAGATTTATAGTTCTGCGCCGATGCTTTTGTGTGCTTGAATTGGTTGGCTTGCATTCTCTTTGGCTCTCAAAGAGCGTATAAGTAGATAGTTGAATGGCACAGTGTTTCTGGGAAATTAGAAATAGGATGATGATAATGAAGAGGCAGAATGCCTAGAGATGATTGTATGACTTGAAAGTAATTCTAAATGAAGTAATGTGGTGTGGTGGTTTGGAAGAGGTTCCAGGGAGGTGACTTGGTTGAGTTTTTTTTTTTTTTTTCCCCACATTAAAATATGATTGGCCATCTCTTGCAAAGGGAGTGCCACTTCTGTCTGTAGGTGGCAATCGTATTCTCTTTTGCTGCATACCTTACATAGTGCCTCCCTGGAAATGGGATCTGTTCAGATGATGCCACTTACTTTACAAGAGGCCTGAAGATAATCTTAGATTGTTGAAAAATTTGGGATGAATTCTCTTGTCTGCCTTTGATTTAAAATATTAAGCTCTGCCATTTGTTAAGAATTCTTTGGCTTCTATTTTTTCCTGAGCAAGTGTGTGCATTTATGAGAGAATGTACTCCTGCCCCAACGGCCCTTTTAAATGTGGTCTCGCTTCCCATGGTTTGTTTTGTCTCCCTTTGCAGTTCTATGTGTGGTTTGGAAATGAACTTTGTTTTAGAATTAAGTTTTTCATAACATCTGCATTCAGACAGCTCATAAATAAGCAAGGCAGTAATTTATCTTTATGACATACAGATTCCAGACTAATGTTGTCTTTATTTATTTCCAGTTTAGACATTTTCTCAAGTATATATAGCCACCACAAACTATATGTCTCTCAGTGGTTAAACGTGATGGTTAATGTTGAATTTGATTCTATGAGATTATGGTTTGTAACTGGTGAGAGTGTCCTGGTGTTCTAAATGTTTTTTGTGTGTGTGTTTTTTTTTTTTTTTTTTTTTCCAGAAAAGTCACAGGATCAAGGGAGTGTATAAATACTGATATTTTACTTAGGTGTATTATACATGCATTCATCCATTCACCAAACATCCATTGAGCCCCTACTATGTTCTAGCTATTGTGGTTTGGGCAGTGAGCCAGTCATCACCTTGCCCTCATGAATCTTAGAGATAGACAGGAACTGACATTTATCAAGCCTTATTATTTGCCAAGCGCTGTGTTAACAGTATTACATCATTAATTTATGTAATCATCAAGTGCTTCTTAGGTATTAATATTTCCATTTTATAGATGATTAAATTGAGGCATAGTGAAGTTAGGAAACCAGCGCCAAATCACGAAAGTCTTAAATGGTAGAACCAGAATTGAAACTTGGATTTGTTTGATTCTAAGCTTTTGTAACATATACTCTTTGCCACTCAGAGTGTGGTTTTTATACCGGCATCATTGACATTGCCAGGGAATTCATTAGAGATACGGGATCTCATTTTAACTACTGAATCAGAATACACATTTTAACAAGATCCCTGGGCTGGGTGCTTCATATGCGCATGAAGCTTGAGAAGCGTTCCTCTACATCATTCTATCTTTTCCTTCAGAGGAAAAGTGTGTGTGTGTGTGTGTGTGTGTGTGTGTGTGTGTGTGTGTATGAGAGAGAGAGAGAGAGAGAGAGAGTCTGTTTTGGCATAAGATTTAAGGATACAAGCTTAGTATAAGAGGAATTCAAATGTTTCTCTGTGTAATACCAATAATTTCCACTCCATGTCACTTCTAGTGCTTTCTGTCCCTTTGATCCAGCTAGGACAGTGTTTTAAGCAGTGGAGAGGAGATGTACAGACAAACGTATGTGACCACCTAAGCTCTCCTGGGAGCAGATCTGTAGAAACTAGGATGCAGTGTGGCCAGTGGAGTGCCAGAGGCAAATCTGACCTTCATCCTGCTTTTGAGGGACAATGCCTCTTACCTACTGTCTGCCCTGTGGACTCCTCAGTCTTTGTACTGATCCCTTGGAAGGGTATGAGCCTCTCCATGGTCACTGATAGTGAGGAAGCAGGCAAGGAAGAAGGGCCATTGGGTTTTAATTTCAGAATTTCTACGAGCAATGGGTTTTTGTTTGTTTGTTTCTTGCACTGCCGCCCAGGGCCCAGGCTGGAGTGCAGTGCCATGATCTCGGCGCACTGCTACCTTTGCCTCCGGGTTCAAGTGATTCTCCTGCCTCAGCCTCCCGAGTAGCTGGGATTGCAAGCGCCTGCCACCATGTCTGGATAATTTTGTATGTTTAGTAGAGAAATACATGTCACCATGTTGGCCAGGCTGGTCTTGAACACCTGACCTCAAGAGATCCGCCCACCAAAGTGCTGGTGGGATTACAGGTGTGTGCCACCATGCCTGGCTACAATGAGGTTTTTATTATTTCTTTTAAAAAACTTTTTTTTAGAGACAGGGTTTTGATTTGTTGCCCAGGCTAGAGTGCAGTGGCTTGATCACAGGTCACTGCTGCCCCGAACTCCTGGGCTCAAGCGATCCTCCTATCTTAGTTTCCCGAGTAGCTAGGACTACAGGTGTGCCACTACACCGGCTAGCAGTTGAGTGTTTTAACACTCATTTTCCCTCTCAGAGTTGCTCTTTCATTTGTATAATGAGGCAATTGGAGTAAATAATCTCTAATCGTTACAGTCCGTGGATCTGAGAAAAGGTTGGGCTCATCTCTAGAATTCTTCCACAGTTCTCTTACATCACCTTCTCCAGCCTTGCAATCATTTCAACTCTTAAGGAGGCTTGGTCATTCTCAGACACCACAGGTTTGTCTGAATTTATGAGTATTGGACATTCTTCTGCATGGGCCGAGTTTCACTTATGCATTCCTTGGATCTCATTCACAGGCCAGGTTTCTTTTCACAGAAAGTATGATCTGGAGTTTGTGAGCCCTTCCTGCCTAGAACCCAGAAATCATAATGAATCAGCCAGATCCAGAAAGGCCTTGTCTAGAGCTCCATTTTCTATCTCAAGGGCATTGGCTTTAGGTTCCAGCACTAATGAGCTTTGACCTCTGACAGTGACTGTGCTCCTTAAGTGGGATAGTAAAGCCAAATGGAACCTCGAGAGGCTTTAAGTCATTGAATAATGCATATTATCCAGTTTGGCCTTTGTAGGATGGAAAAAGATGGAGGAACAGGATGATAAATGTTGCTTTTCACGGTTTGAATCTGAGCTTTCTAGAACATCCCTTCTGTCTTGAAAATTTGTCTGAGGAAACCAGGACAACAGTGTCTCTGTTTTTCACAGATACGGTAGCAATCAGAGTTTCCATATTTGGATATCTCTGCCCAACATGAAGAGCGTGTTTATCCACATACACTAAGGGTGAGCTGAAGCCTCCCAAGGAACAAGACATGTTTGACATTCTTGTGTTTCCATTTTCCTTGGATTCCTCAAACCCACGGTCATTTTAGCCATTGTTTGCTTGCTAACCACATAAAAGGCCTTGCTGATGTATTATCAGTGGTCTGTTGGGAACAAGCAGGAGAACAAAAATAAGGTGGAATCTAAAAACCGTCCTCTCTGTTTGGAAGCTTGAAATGCAGAAGGGAAACCAAGTAGCCAAGTCAGGAGAGAACTGCAGAGGGAGGGTGGAGGGCTGCTTTCCAGAAAACTGAGAGCGGAAGCCTTTGGCCCCTGGGGCACGATTGAGGGCTTGAGGAGGTGTGTTTCCTGTGGGGTGAGGCTAGTGTGGGTTTTAGGGGCCTGGAACATGAAGTGAGCGGGAGGACACACAGGAAAAAGTAAGCCAGTGCAAGAGGATGTTGGAGGAGAGGCAGGAACACAGAAGCGTCCTGGGATCCCAGAGGGCAGAGCTGTGTGGGCGCTTAGGGGCTCAGAGGCAGAAGCTAGTATGCGCAATGCACTGTTTAGCATCTGCGTCTCTCAGCCAAGCTCTCTGCTCTTGCACCTCTGTTCTGCCCCTGCTTTTCTTCCTCAGAAAAGTTCAAGACACAGCAAGAAGTAAATAGGGATTTGAAAGGATAATGAACCAATTGGCAATTTTTTTTTTTTTTGGACTCTCTGGAGTGGAAGAGCAAAGCAGTGAGAAATTTTGAAAATACAGTGAGTGCTAAGAAAAGCCTGAGGATGGGGATCAGAGGGAGGACAGAAGCACCTCTTTGGCAGCAAGGTTTAAAACTATTGATTGGGAGACTGGATTTTTGTAGAGAAGTCAGGAGATGCCAGGCCTTCCTTAAAATGCAAGTTAATCATATTGCATGCAAGAATCAAGTGGATAGATTGTAGGGAAAGAGTAATGTTAGGTTTTGAACATCCTGATTTTCTGGAAGAAAAGGTCGCAGCTTCTGGCACTCGTCATTTTCCTACCAAGTCCTAGGAGTGACTTTGATCTTCCTGGGAAGCCTTAGGATCTCCAGATTGGTTCCCAAGTAATTGGAAGTGGTTTGCTCCAGGATGAGATGCGCCTAAACTCTCTTTTAAGTCTTGCCTCTTTTTTTCTGAGTGATTCTGTGAATAATTAGCCATGTTTAGCATTTGTGTTCAAATGCACCATCATATTTAAGTCATTATTTTTTAAAAAGTTATTACACAGTTTACATGTTGGAGAAGAGCCTTGTAACGTCACCTGTTTTCTTGTCAGGTCATGACGAGAGAAAGCCTTGTAAATACCAGCTATTAGGGGTCGTGGTGGTCCTTTTCTTGCCACTCAGCTGTCTAATCCTGGTTCCTATATTTGAGAACCCCCATTCATTTCCTGTTATTTACTCTGGCATATGGTAAACTCCTTAGTGGGCCAGTGGAGGCCCTGCTCTCCATCTTGAAGCCCCACACCCCCTCTCCACTCAAGCTCACTGGGCCGAACAATTCCCAAGTATTTCATGTACATTCACTTTCCTGTGCCTTTGCACATGGCCTTGCCTTTACTTAGAAAACTTCTATCAGTTCTTTAAGACCAAGATCAAATTTCGCCTCTGAAGGCGTTTGCTGGAATCCCCCCAAACAGGCAATTCCACTCAGGACTCCCTCATGCTCCGTCGTGCTCTTGCCTTTA